TTATTAACTGTGGTATTAACTGTGTTATTAACTGTTATTAACTGGGTTATTAACTGTGTTATTAACTGGGTTATTGAACGTTATTAACTGTGTCATTAATTGTTATTAACTCTGTTATTAAATGTTTTTCTTTTCTTATCTTTTTTTTTTCAGTTCAAGTTTGGGCTGCTGTGAAGTTTCATGGAGCATCCTTCTAAAGTTTCACTGGAACAAACCAGCAGTGAAGACCACCTTTTTACCAGCTAAAGAGGGGTTTCAGTCCTGACTACCCCTGCCCATCGGAACCCATCAGGTTCTGTTAGAACCCAGAGCTCAGAACAGATTGTATAAAGTAAGAGTTACTACTGAACTGAGAGGTTTTCCACCTTTATATTGAACCCAGTTGTGAATCTAAAGAAAACAAAGGGAGAACCTGACAGAAACACTCAGATGTTTCTTCTTTTTAAATCCTCATGAAGACACAGATGAACCAAACTAGCTCCAGTTTGTAAAACCAAGTGAGGCTCAGGATCCAATATGAGGAAACTGATACCTTTGCCACAATATACTGAGTTTACCTCTCACAGCTGTTTTACCCAGAATGCCATTCTCTACCTGTCTCTGTTTGTAGCCTTGTCTGATGATTGTAAGTTTCATACATATAGAGTTTGTTAAATGTTCATGTGAATGTAGTTTGGGCTGTAAAGCACTTTTAATCTGAATAATATATTCTAACAGGTCATTTCCTGTTAATAATTTATATCTGCAGGTCGTTTCCTGTTTGTTCCAGTAGATAACCAACCATCAGTTTAGCCTTACTCATAGTTAAACACAACAAAATTATTATTTCTTAAAGTCAAGCAAATGTTTAAATCTATGATATGTTGCTAAAGTATTCACCCCCTTGGGTACTTTTCAGTTTGGTTGCCTTATAACCTGAAACTTACTTAGATTTTTATTTGAATATAAGTAATGAACCTTCAGAAAATATTCCATATGAAAGAATTTACACTGGATGATATGTTAAATATTTCTTTAAAATATAAAACTTAAAAGTGGTGTGTGCATATATGCCCACCCTCTTTGGATTGAAGCCCCAACTTTTATCTCTCAYAGGCTGGTTTGTCAAAAACATCACAAACCCTGAACCCCCCCACCCCACCCCACCCCACCCCACAGAGCCCCATCAAATCCATTATTAGAAAAAGGAAAGATGATGTCACCACAACAGATCTGCCAAGAGAGGTTCATCCAACAAAACTCACAGAGAGGTTAGGGAGGGAAACATCCAGGACACTAAAGTTAATCCCAGTGGTTCACAGAGATGAGAGGGTCTGTCCACAGGACCACCACAAGCTGCTCAGAGCTTCATGGAAGAGTGGACAGGAAACAGACATCACTAAAGCAGACTGTTTTAGTTTCTTCCCCAAACGTGGAAAAGCTGCTTTTAGGCCCTCAAAAACACCATGCCTGATACAAATCTACCACCTGTCATTATGAGAACACCATCCCCACACTAAAGCATGGTGGTGGTGGCATCATACTGTGGAGACAGTTTTCATCAATAAGAGCTGGGAAACTGGACAGAGTTGGAGAAAAAACTGAATATCTTGAGATGAACCTGTTTGAGGCTTCTACAGGCTGGTTTATACTTGGAGTTGCACCTCTGGATCCCCCTGCTGAGTGACAAAATAATGTGTAACCTCCATCTGCTTACCCCAGGTGACAGTGGTTGTAAACATTGCCCCAGTCAGGGCTCTGCACCACAGCCCTCGTGGCTCAGAGTGTGATTGGTCAGAATGTTGTGGGCGTATTTGTTCATGTAGAGCAGAGCAGCTGGAGCAGTGCCTCTTTCTGCACGTTATTTAGCTGAAAATGATTGGTTCTCTGAAAGTGGATGTTAAATTAATACGATGCACAGCTTTGATGAGCAGCTGCTCTGATCCTGCTGACCTCCTTCTTTCCAGCACCGCCCATTAACAAGAAAAATAGTTTTTCCTCCTCCGTCTATTCACACACCACACATTCATTGTTGAGTGAAAACAACAATCCATCCTGCTATCACTTGTTTATGAGCTGTGCTGCATCAGGTGTGCAGAGGGACAGATTAGAATAGTTTGTCCCTCCCCACGTCTTCAGCCCAGTTATACTCAGAAAAAGACATCTAAAATGACRCAATCACCGACCTGCTGCCTGACGTCATATTGAAGTATAAACCAAACCAAGGGCGGTGTGGGTAATCGGGACGATTCCAGCTGGGCTGCATAATTATGGGTGCTGTTAGTATGGGGGACGTACCCTCCCACTGTCCCTGATGGGACGAGAAAAATCTCCGATCAAAACTGATGATGAACTTATTTTAGTGCTGACGCTCCCTCAGAGCTGCAGCAGCAAAGACAGCCCGCTCCCCCCTCCCTTCCTTTTTCTCTGTGACACACAGAGCGGAGCCGTGCAGCACACACACGTGTTTGTTCTTCTGTCCTCATGGGGACTTTGCATTGACTTACATTCATTTACTGGTCATTTGTAYGGCCTAACACTGACACACCAACAGTATTTTCTCCATTGCCCGGAGACCGGGCTTTTCTCCCCATGAGGAGCAGTGGGTCCTCACTACCAGGCTGTGTTTACCAGGAAAATGGTCTCCACCAGGCTGCAAAAACCTGTAGGCACACACACACAGGCTGTGCTCATCGTGTCGGGCTGCCTTCTGCAGCATAAACCAGCTGAATCCGGAGTGCAGGTTATAACTGGTGGAAGAGGTACATTGCAAAAACTGTCCATCTTACCAAGTTTTAAAACCTTATATCCAGCCAAAAAGTCTTTTTGATCTTGTTT